AGAAGCGCTGACAATGTAGGTACTTTAAAAGAATTTGCGAGTATATGAAGACGGTTGTAAACTGCTTACGAGACGTGACGTAAGATTAATATTACATCTATCGCTATTCGTCAAGGACAAAATAATAAGATCTTTAAATAATAACGCACACACTCATTAATAGCAATAATAATTACAAAAGTAATCAAAATAATCAAATAGCTAACTGTCTCTTTCCGACTCATTGCTTGCGTAAAAGATTGAACGAGATCCATCACGTCAATTTCAATTGTTTGAAGCACAAGCGTTTGAAATATTTAGAATAAAAATTTCATAGAGTCGCTTTGATGCTAATGTTAATATTAAAATATTTTTTAATACATGTTAGTAATACTTTCAAATATTGTAGTACTCTTTCTACGGCTCGGGGTTACGAATCAGAGGACTGAAAATACATTTGCCCGAAATAACGTTTGCATGAACTTCCATAATCCCGAAAGTATTTTTTTGGGTTTTTCGGGAGAAATATGTGTATGGCCTACATTTATTTCTCTCGAGAGTTTGGGTGTAAACTGTGGTCGTCTATATGTATATCCATGGCAGCCGCGACACAGGGTTTCCCTAATGCGGGGCAATGTTGAGTGTGTGCGTTGTCATAATTATTATTATTAGATAATACCTAACTGTGTATTTTGAAAAGCGTTTCTCCTGGGCAATCAATATCGCGCATTTTAATTTTGTAATTATCTCACGACGGCAAATACCCTACTACCGTCATAGCCGTACTTTTTCAACCACAAGAAACATTTGCAAGAACTATGAGCAGTACGACTATGCCTGTTGATGGAATCAACCGTTGTCAGTGATAAACCGTAGTAATTATATTGAATCAATGTAAGCACTACGGCATATAGAAAAGTGGTGACGTTTTTGAGCGCAGTATAATTTCAGTACTATGCACGAACGGGTTAAGAAAATGGTAAGAAAAGAAAGGAAACCAGAGCTGATGCAAGCTTGATAAAAGACCATAATATTAAAGCTTTGGTATGAGATTACATCAATGAGTAAACTGTGCATAGAAAGGAGAGAATGCAGGAATTTATCCAGGAAACATAGCTTGAACTTAAGAAGAATGTGACAAGTATTAACAGAGAACAGTTTACATCGCCAAAATGCATTAAAAATCAAAAGTTGGATGAATGACAAAATATACCAACTTAAGAAACAAAGAAGGTAATTGAAGCAGACTGACAATGCAAATTAAATACGATTTTTTTTAAAGTTTAAGCAATTTGTAACTTTCACATGCAAACATTGCATAATAATACAAATAGTACAACCTTGATAGCCTAACGGTTTGCACTGTGGGCACTGGATGAGAAGTTCCCGGGTTCGATACCAGTAGTTTTTATATAATATCAAGTGACGGGACGAACAAGTCGTGCGCCTGATGGTAAACTACACCCCTATCCATAACAGTTGCGGTGCCAATCAGAGCTTAAAGCTCGCAAAGATTTGAGGGGCACTGCCACTGCGCCCGTCACCCCGAGACATATGATGACAAGTCCCATTTGCCTGTAATTTCACCAGCACCCTTACCCTTCAAAACCGGAACACAGTAATGCTGACATTACTGCTTGGCGGCAGAAATAGGCAAGGTGGCAGTACTTCCCTGGACGAACTCTTTCACAAGGAGCTCTACTGCTACTATAATACTATAAAAAGAGAACTCGTGTTCTACAAATAAACTTACTTATCTTAAAACCTTTAGTGGTCTACTCTTGCTTTTCGCTATCAACACAATCTTGCTTTTCGCTATCAACACAACGCTGCAAGCTCTTTTTAACATAAAATGTGCTTATGTTTTTTTTACGACTACGTAAGCTTCAAACTTCAAATTAAAAAGCATTTGAGTGAAAAGCGTTTCAAATAGCACGCTTTTTTATAAAAAGCACAGCGATTTAACGTTTAAAAAAATAACCAGTTTTTCCCATCTCTAATGACAACACAGAATAGTAAGTACCTATCACTGAATAAACTATAATGCATAACAGACGGCCTTATTGCTAAGTTAAGTAGCAATGTAAGTAGCAGTAACATGTGCCTATATAAATATCTACCTAAAAATACAACTGTATATACAAGGTTCAGTGCTTTATTTCTACCTATGAAATCTCGGTAAAGAAGCAGGTTATTTAGATACACTACTACCTACCTACAAATCATTTTGTTTTCATAGTTGATAGGTACATGTCAGGTTTTGTTACGTATTCTGCGAGAGACGCATCTTGCGGGATCGTGGCTAATTTATACTTCCCCCGCACTCGATACAAGTGACATATAAATGTCGGTTTTGTTTCCCTTTACCCGGGATTTAGAGTCGCACTGGCGAAGGGGGACGTGAAACAAACGCGTGCTTCGTGATCAATTTGTGTTCTTGCGGCGAAATACCTCGCACCAATGTCTCTTGCGATTTCTGCGTAAGTATTTATTCACACGGTGTGGGAAATTGTACAAGTCACGTACATTATGTAAAAAGGGCGTCTTTAAATGCTGAATTTGTTGCTACCTCGAATGGTTTCCTATCCTAGGCATTTTACAAACGTGTAAATGCGGGGGTTACGGCGTCTCCTAGTGTCATTTTCAAGCGTTAGTACCTATATGTCCAATAGGTATATTATTTTGTTTGTGCTACTAATACTAATAAACAAACTGTTATTGATTTAAATCTAAAAATTAGAGTTATTAAAAAAATAGGTAGGTACTTGTTTATCGCTCATTATAGCCGCAACACTTACTTCACCTAGCTTGCATTTTAGTTAGGTACATTTATAGGTAGGGGAGAGCGGGGCTGAACGTTCCGATTTTCAAATAACTTGCAGTTTTATACTGAAAATGAAGGATTTGATTTTCAACATGTGGAAATGTTGAACAAATGTTTATCGCTTTTTGTAATAGTATAGTCACTTCTACTGATCTCTCAATAGTCTTTTTCATAGAGGCAAATTTTTGATAAATTTCGGAGCGGAATATTCAGCCCCGCTTTGGGGCGCGTTGTTCCGCCTTTGAGGCAAATCGTTCCGCCTACATTATGACAGAATAACAAAAATTTTCCTAAATAAAACCACCTATTTTATAGTTGTACGTATGTAATGTTTATATTATGCACAACTAACTTAAAAAAAAATAACTACTTTCTTATTCATCAGGAATATTACTCATCGCTCATTTCTTCATCTGAACCACAGTTGAGACACACATAAGTGACTCTATCATCTTGCCTAAATATTTGACATGAGCCCGTTTGTAGTTTGGCATCCTTAAAACAAAGAAAAATGGTCATGAGAATTTTAAATATGATTGCAGGTCAATTGGGGAAGTTGTTCCTAGGAACAACCAGCCCCTCAAGGGAGGAACTTATAGCCCCAAATTACGTTTTTATACGAAGACTGACATACTGGCAAAGTAATAGAATCAATCAAAAAAATACTCAAACAATAAGATTCGTCACTAATTAATGTCACTACTATTTAGAAAAGTTACGTATGGATTGGCCCATAATCAACAGACAGACCAAACAATTTAAACAAGAAAAAATTTACTTACGTTATATTTTGACAGCTCCACGCACATAGCCACACGTCGTCGCCGGAGTAATTTAAAATGGCTGCCGACAAGACGCATCAACTGACGATTTAACGACGCGCTTCACATGTGTTGCTACATATTTTCCTTGCAAAGTTATTGCTGTGAGAAGAACTTACCCCGGGAACTACCAGCCCCGGTCTCCCCTACAGGGTAAAAAGCATGTTAATCTTTACATTTCAAATTTAAATTCAACTCTATGTGGAGACCGGGGCTGGTAGTTCCCAGGGTAAGTTGTTCTCACAGCAATAACTTTGCAAGGAAAATATGTAGCAATACATGTGAAGCGCGTCGTTAAAGCGTCCGGTGATGCGTCTTGCCGGCAGCCATTTCAGTAACTCCGGCGACGACGTGTGGCTAAGTGTGTGGCTATGTGCGTGGAGCTGTCATAAAATATCACGTAAGTAAATTTTTTCTTGTTTAAATTTTTTGGCCTGTCTTTGTTTATTGTGGGCTGATTCATACGTAACTTTTCTAAATCGTAGTGACATTAGTAAGGAATCTTATTGTTTGAGTACTTTTTTGATTCATTCTATTACTTTGCCGGTATGTCAGTCTTCGTGTAAAACGTAATTTGGGGCTATAAGTTCCTTCCTCGAGGGGCTGATTGTTCCTAGGAACAACTTCCCCAATTGACCTGCAGTCATACTTAAAATTTTTATGACCATTTTTCTCTGTTTTAAGGATGCCAAACTACAAACGGGCTCATATCAAATATTTAGACAAGATAATAGAGTCACTTATGTGTGTCTCAACTGTGATTCAGATGAAGGAATAAGGGATGAATAATATTACTGATGAATAAGAATGTAGTTTTTTTTTAAGTTAGTTGTGCATAATATAAACATTACATACGTACAATTATAAAATAGGTGGTTTTATGTAAGAAAATCTTTGTTATTCTGTCATAATCTAGGCGGAACAATTTGCCTCAAAGGCGGAACAACGCACCCCAAAGCGGGGCTGAATGTTCCGCTCCGAAATTTGTCAAAAATTTGCCTCTATGAAAAAGACTATTGAGATATTAGTAGAAGTGACTATACCATTACAAAAAGCGATAAACATTTGTTCAACTTTCCACATGTTGAAAATCAAATCCTTCATTTTCAGTATAAAACTGCAAGTTATTTGAAAATCGGAACGTTCAGCCCCGCTCTCCCCTACTTCCCTGGACGAACTCTTTCACAAAGAGCTCTACTAATATTATTACTAACTTCATTATAGTCACTTGGTCAGCTGAAACAAGTTCTCAAAGAAAATATGTTGTTTAAATTTTACTAATTAAAATATCATACTCGAGATAACTCGATCTAATGACCTCTGGTAATATAAACAACGTACGATAATAAATACGAAGAGATAACTCGAGTAAAACGCATAGTTACTGTGTTACACGTCAAAAAGGCACGATAAATATGGCTTTACTAAATATATCTCAAATAAATTCTTTAGCCGACGATCAATTTGTGTCTATATTTGGTAATGTGATAGAACTGTGTCCGGATGCAGCTGTGCAAGTGAAAAAGAAAGGCCCGTTTCGGACTGTGTCCGAACTTTGTGAGGCGTTTCATAAATATTTGGACGACCTCACCGAAGAAGGTAAGCCATTAAGCAAAGTAACTTCGTATCTATACATAATAACTTGTTACTTTCGTATTTTACCGTCAAGAGGCAATTGAAAGAAGAAAAGGTAAGGTGGGTTCGGTACTTTACATGACGTACCGACGCAGAAATTTATAAGAAGAAAAAGATGAAAGGCAAACGTGGACGGAAAAGACAGAGAAGATGCTATTTGAACCAAGTAAAACAGAAGGCTTACATCGCGTCGTTTTTGGAATATGAATGGTCTCTCAATACATGAGGGTGTGCGTAAAAAAAACAAAAACTACGTCCAATATGAGATACTGCTCGCAACGCCGCTGCGACGACAGATACTCAACCTACGCGTTGGACATGACATAATTGCGTTTACTACACTGACAAAAGCCTGGCTTTTCAATTCAAGAAGTATCACGTTATCTGTCTTTACAAGAGGTGACGCCTCTATTAAGTATAATTATCTATTAGAATATATATCTAGAGGGCTGTAATACAGTTTTGAAAAACGTTTTCCAGCGCAAACTTAATGCAGTTTACGCTCTCCTGCGATAAAATAAAATGCGCACGATGTCATCATTCCATGTACAGTCAACAGCACATCAAACTATACACTTTTGTTAGAATACGCCTCCAGCGCAACAGAACAAGATGGGTCAATATACCGTTCTGTACTTTTCTATTTCATCCTCAATTGTGTTACCTATATAATTAATATTTTCTAGGACTATGAGAAGGTTTACTGTTCTGGCCCTGTACAATCGTTCTCCGTCCGAAACACAGACCTAGGATTACGGGCGCTATAGATCCGTGGTCCGGAAATAAGTAATACACGACCAAACTAAAAGACGCCTAATGCTAATGAAGTTTCATGCTTGACATTATCTTTTATAAATGGTTGAATATTACTTATTTGACAGTAGGTAATTGTTTCGGTTCGGAGCACGGGAGTGTTTCGGATCCATGATTGATGGTTTGCGCTTTTCATCCCATCTTCACATTTACCTAAGCACCATTGTATGTACCTACTTAAAACATTTTTTTACCAGGAAAACTTAGCATCTTGAAGTTGCATCCTGACTTGGCTGGGAATTTAACAAGGTTGAGCGAGCTGACGCGAGAATCTGCCGGAGAGCAGCGAAGTGCGGGACTGACCGAACTCTCTGATTGGCACGTCAATGTCATCCAATCTAGCAATCAAAGGTAACGTTTATGACGCCTATTAACGTTCGACATATCTCCAATGAGAAGAAAGTAGTGTTCATTAGTGTCGTATTAACGAAAAGTGGCAGACGACCTTGCAAATACGACATGACTATCGACTGTATCAGAAATCTAATAGAATAAATAGTAGATACCCCTCAAGAACCTACAAACCAAGTTTATTATGTAAACTCACTCTTTCTCGGTAGTTTTACTATGTCATGCAAATTCTATTATTATACGCTGCCGTGTGAATCCCATTATGTATGTAAGACCGTTCTAAGAATAGATTTTTATGGTCATTCTTTGGATTTAAATTTTATTAGAGAGGCCTGTGTTCAAGCTGAAAGTTGTGGTGACGGATTCGCCAGCAAAAATATTAGTTTCCCAGAAAACTAAAATAGCGGCCACAGCTCCCTCTAGGGCGTAAGGCACAAACAACGTAGTAACGAGAAGGCGTGTTTCGGATCATATTTTCCAACTCAGCCATTACAGTTTCCGGTAATACCGCTAGATGGAGTACGAGTACTTTGTAATAAAATATCCTCTTACAGATACAAAACGAAGTTTGGATTTCCTTTCATAATTTGCGCTAGAGAAAATAAATTTCAATCAATTATTGAAGGTCTGCAGCATCGGTATGATAATACACGCGAACAAGAGATTGCCACCGGCATCAATGAGGTGAAGAAAATATGCAAGCTAAGAATACTGGATATTGCTCAATTGGACTGAGTTGACCTGATAAACCACTTACATTTCGGCCTCTGCTAAGCTGTGAAATTTCTTGAACGCCTGATGCCCGAACATGAATGTTAAAAGTAACATAAGACATTTATTCCTAGCTTAGCTTGTACAGCTGAAAATTCATCAAAAAAATGCTAATAAATATTAAAAGTCACCTAATTGTCTACAATTACCATGTACATTCTATAAGGATGCTATGATGAGAAAATATTTAATGTGTTTAAAGTATTCTTAAAGTTCTTAAATCAATTTCTTTTACTCATTTTCCTTAACTGTAACACACAGCTCAATTTATATTGCTCTTGCCGGAACAGAATGGAAGCGACTTTTTGTAACCCTAGGAATAATGAAATTTATGCCAATTGTGTAACATACACAAGCCAAAAAACAGGCATGCGTTTCTCCAGAGAATTATCTCAGAGTCTCGGGAAATCCGGCAGCTGCGAATCATATCTAGTTTGTACTTTACACAATTGACGAAGTTTATTATACTATGCACAGATGGCTGCACATTGACAGATCTTGGTCCATTGCAATGGAGGCGATAATCGAACAAAAGTGTGTAGCTTGATGTGCTGTTGACTGTACAATTTCGTTAGAAAAATTAACTTGAAATTCTGTTCTGAAGCAAAGTATATTAAGCCTAAAGCAGTATGTGACATTCTAGCAAAACCTATTATTTTTATTATTACAATCCAAATACGTATTTTATGTAGAAGATATTATTTTAATAAAGAACAAAATATGTCATTACAAAAAGCAATTTATTTAAACAGTACTCCAGAGATTATGGTAGAAGACTTAACTATCTTATAGTAGGCCAAAAGATCTCTCCATCACCGCATGAGGTTGTACACCAACTTCAGAAAGATCCCTCGGGTTAAGAATATCTTCAAAACCAATATCAAGGTAGCGACCTGTTAAGACTTCCATCTGCAGGTTAGAGCTGGGCAGGAATGGTAAGCGGCCAACCTGGATTAAGGAAATATATAATCACCACAGAGTTGCATTTTCTAAATAATAAATAGTATGACCCTAACTTCATAATCTGCTTTCATTTAAAATTTGAATTTTTGTTCAGGATAGCAAAAAATAGAAATTGGGTAGAAACTATAACAAAAAAAATTTTTTTAATCTGTCATCCATTCGAGAAACACACAGTGTCCCTAACAATTATGATTTTTTAAGTTTATACTTTTTTATAACTTTAATTTTTTTTTAATTTGTGGATGAAAACACAGCTGTATGTTAGGGCACAGGATGGTTCTAGGAAGTGTCCTTTACAATTATGGTACTGTAGTGACAGTACCATAATTGTTGGAGCCGCGGTGTGTCTCTAGCGAGTGTATGCATGACAGGTTAACATTCTTAAGGCAATATCAAACTGTTACTATTTTCATTAGATCCATTTTTATACTGAGATACGCATTGTTGGGCAAGTAAAGTACATTTTTAAATTGTAGTTAACTTTTGACAATTACCTTGTAATATAGAATGTAACGGGAATAAAAAACTCACCTTAGAGCAAAATTTTTTTTCCATAGTTAGCTTTAAGGGTGCATGGAGACCTTGTATATTGCGGAGCATGGCCATATTCATCTTTTCCTCATTTAAGTGGTACTGGAAGCAGTAATTTTACAATCAAATACTATACTATGCATATTTACAAAAGTAAAGCATCAGGGTTATTCGAGTTACATGGAAGTTCACAATAATAATTGCATTGAGAGAGGGAGCTCCCTCCACTTGTGAAAAGTTTTACAGTAGAACTGATGAGTTTCTTAAAGTGTTTGCTGTAGGTACCCCATAATTAAATTTACAAAAATTGATCTCCTAATTTCATTGAAAATTGGGATTGTTTACTTAGCAGTGGGTACACTGCGACTGCGACTTCAGTTATGAATTCACAAAACTTACGTTACGTTCTGACGCCTCCAAAGGGTGAACTGTGCCCAATTTCGGCCTGGCTGCACCGACACCGGCGACGAACGGGTCTGGAACGCCGTACGGCCCTTCGCGTATTTTAACGTTGCCCACATGTTCTGGCTTAACTTTCACAGAAGGCAGGCCAAAACTCTGTAAATTATAACACAAAAATATATAAAATGCATCATATTACACACGGTCATAATTGTTATAGGTAGAATGAAGAAAAAGGTCAATTACAACCTAAAAAGCTCACCATTTTTAATTTTTACACCGAATATCTGTTTTAAGTGGTAGCAGTAATCGTCCGCTGTACTGGCACGTTTATTAAAGTAAATAAATACAGTAAAATATTTTAAATTGCAGAAAACTACAAATATTACAATGCAGAAAATTCAACAACACAATTTTTAATCAGCGATAAAATGACAAATCAAATTTTGTGATTTGTTGCCATATTTTGTATTTTTTTCTTCGCAAGCCAGCGCAGATTGGGGTGCAAATTTGCCAGCAGCCATAGCTTAAATACTTTACTAAACTTTGATTTCTATTATACAACAAATGCAGTGACATTATTTTTGTCGACACCTCTCCACGGTTCCCTTAGGGTCGTATTCCAGAACTCTACTCAATGCTCAAGTCAGGATTTGAGTATGATTTCTAGTTTTTTCCATCCTCTAAGTTTCTAGTGCTATATAAATCATACTCAAGTCCTGACTTGAGCATTGATTAGAGTTCTGGAATACGACAATTAGACTATTCCTTTAGTTTTTTCCATCCTCTAAGATGATTCTTCACAAAATCGATATTTTTTGCACGAAACATATTAAAAAACTTTTGATTTGATTATTTTAATATCTGTGATTTGAACTTAGAGGATGGAAAAAAATAAAGGGATTTTGAGGGTCATATTCCAGAACTCTACTCAATGCTCAAGTCGGGACTTGAGCAGACTTGAGTATGATTTCAAGCACTGGAAATACGACCCTAATGGCAAGGAGTTGAGTATGATTTCTAGTGCATTAAATCATTCTCAAGTCCTGGCTTGAACATTGAGTGGAGTTCTAGAATACGACGCTCAAATATTAATTAAAAAAACATTTAATTTCAAATGGCAACGTATCGTAAGAATCGAAAAAAATAAAAGGTTTTTCTCATGTTTTTATTTTGTTGTTGATTAAGTAAGTTTAGCATTAAACGTTGTTTATTAGTATTGTACTTAACACATATCGCAAAATATTGATCAATTTGATTGTTGCCAGAGATGGGTAAGCACTTGGATTTACTCGGCGAAAATATTTGTAAGTCGAGTTTTGTTGAAATGTTATTATTATTATTAGAGAATGATTATCGCTTGAAAATCGCATTGAAATGAATTTATACAAAAACTCTATCGTATACACTTGAATCGATTTTCATTAAAATCAAATCGTCAATCGAACATCACTTGCTACTAGGGATGCACATGACGATTCGATTTTAATGAAAATGTGGCAACTCTACAAAATACCTACCGGTACAGTTGCCACTTTTTCTCATATAATAAAGATTTTTTTTGTTATACCAAATTCCGTATTCGCCGTTTTCTCCCACGATTTTGAGAAGAAATGAGTTAAAACCTGTATGGGTTGATTTGGTTCTAACCCATTGCCCAAGTTTGTTGCCAATTAGTCTGCTGGCAACACTGCTTTTTGCTGTAAATTTTTTTGGCTCAAAAATAAAGTACCCAAAGCCGTAAAATACCAAATATGAAATCCACAGACAAGACATATATCTAGAAAAGCGCCGCAAGTGTACGTACTTCGTGTGCCCAAAGTAAGTGAAATTCACTTACTTGCCGCTGCTACACTTTAGAACGCGCTCGACCGTTATCTTGGATAAACACCATTCGAAAACGCGCAAAATGCATAATTGTGCCATTATAAACTGCAAAAGCACCATAACTGTGGGTAAACGGGTAAACAGGGAAGTTTCCTTCCACGGGCAAGTGATTTTGTAAGAAGATGAATAATTTAATTTAAAAACAATTCTTTTGGTTTTATACGAATTTCAAGAAAACAAAATATGCAACTCAGTGTATGCCTTTTTGTATTACATTGCGGCTTTTACTTGGTGCGATATATTTCAGATCCTTTGTTAATACGCCATGCATATCGAACGAATGCACTTTTGCATAATGCATTCAATTTCTGTGGTACGGCCGCTTGTACATTTTTTTTGGCCAAATTTAACATATACGTTGGGCAACATTGTTCTCGATTCTGATCGATTTTACCTTAGCATTGACTTACAATTATATGGACCGACGTTCGAGGTCCGAGGTCCGCGCTAAAAAGTATCCGAACTTATAGGGAGTTAAAATCGTATGCAGAGCGTCATTCACGCTTTAGTCTTCGTTTGTTCTACTGACAGCGAAGCAAGCAAAATTAGACAGTACTGCGATGACATTATAATTTAAATTCAACGTTTTAGCTTTTTCATATTCCTTTACATGTCACTACGTTTAAATAGGTTGACTTGGGACATTTCTTTCGTGGTTTTTGTTATAGACCCGTCGTCCATTTATTTGTAAGTCAATGGACCTTAGCAATATTATAAAAATATTCTATAACTCTTTTATTATGACGTGTCGTTTTTTTTCAGTTTTGTAGTATCTATTATCAGTAGTATCTGTAATTTCGATAATTTTTGCAGCACGTTGTTGCCTCGAATGTCCGAATATTTTTTTAAATTATTTACAATTACGGGTAATACAAAAAAATATATAACGCAAAGAATTAACTGTGCCCTGTCTTTACAAGAACCTGGAGTTGGTCATACGTATAAGTTCGTTGCTTTCGAGGACGAATGTGGTCTAGTTTATCCCATCTAAGATGCTATCCAAATATGCAGAGTAGCAGAGTTAGGAATCCGAGAAATAATAAACAAATAACAATAATTTCACACGAGGCCATCACTAAGTAAACCTCTTCTGATTAATAAGATGTAACCATATTTTGTCAGTAGTAACATTTTCATTTGTCTTGCCATTCATCAATTACCAAACGGAAAACCATCTAGTAATTAAATCAGTCCCAAGTTCATATATTGAGGTGCGTTTTCATTATTTAAGTTAATCAATAAGATCTTCTATTACAAAAAGGTGTTATTATATATGCTTATTTTACTGGAATCACAATAATTTTAATATTTGAAGTCGATTAAAAAAGAAAGTCTGAATTTTTTTAAAGCAAAATAAAGTACTAAACTATCTTATTCTAATATTTTTCTACTATATTAATATTGCGACAACTTGTAATCAACAAATACTTGAACAAAAATTATTCTATTTAGAATCGATTAATTGAATGGAATACGCGTGTTTACGCGTATTTCGTTCAATCAATCGATCGAAAAACACTTAGTTGGTGCTTCTATGCTTCAGAACAAGGACGAAGGTGGTCCAGTTTATCCCACCAAAGATGCTATCCAAATATGCAGAGTAGCAGAGTTAGAAATCCGAGAAATCATGATCAAATCACAAAAACTTTACACGAGGCTGACATTAAGTAAACCTTAAGTTACTTTAGTAAGATTTTAGACGTTTTGTCAGCAGTAATATTTTCAGTTGTCTTGCCATTCACCAATTTGATCAATCACCGACGAAAAACCTTCTAGTAAATTTAATTAAGGCAGTTGCAAGTTCCTATATTCACGTGGTTTTCATTATTTAAGTCAATCGATATTTGTAATAGATCTTCTATTACAAAAAGTCAGTTATATAATAAGCTTATACTATTTTAAGGACAATAATTTTAATATTTGAAGTTGATTAAAAATTAAAGTTTAAATTATTGAGTAATCAATTTTGTTTTTAACTTTTAATAAAGGACATAACTATCTTGTTTCGGTATTTTTCTGCTGTTGTGTGTTTAATTTTTCACGATTACTTGTAATCAACGAATACTTGAATCGATTAATTGAATGGGATACGTGTATTCCGTTCAATCAATCGATTTAGCGCGGAAGGAGGTTTCCCATCACTAAAGAGTTCTTGTGACGTCATGGCGGATACCTAAATAATTTTTTTATTTATAATTTTGGCTTGGATACAAGTCCTTTGAGCTACGTCATCGTTTAATTATGTTTCTGTAAATATGGCCGCCACATAGAGAATAGGCAATTTGAGGCGGCGTGCTTGGATTGACTCGGGATTCCTTAGAACGGGCCGATACGGGTATTTTAGTTCGAGATTCGTATAATTTCGCGTTTTATTCTGCGATTAAAGCACAATAGCACTATCCTATTCCACTTTAAACTAGATTTCACAAAATAATTGAAAATCAAAATAAAAACAACACTTTTCCTTCCTCTCTCCGGATCCGTTTCCAAAATTCCTTAACATACGAAAAGGTTTCCCTGTTTTTAAATGAAGTTAATTTTTCTTGTCATCATTCGTTTCAACGCTCACCACGGAAGGCCAAAAACAAAAAAAAAAACAAAAAAAATATTTTCTTGTGTCACTGTCATTTTTGGTGTCGGCAACATTCCCTAGTTCGAGTTTATGGGTATTTGTTTTGTTTTAGCCGGTGTTGATTAAAATCTTTAAAAACAACTATTGATTTATAGGAAATGTATGTTTAAAATGATTGCCCAAATAGCGTTACTAATTACTACAGTAAAGCTACTGTTCATACCATTTTAGTAAGTTTATAGTCTTCCTTGTAAAATAACCTCTTGTTACACGCTGCTAAATAATTGATTTTTATCTTTGATTTGAACTTTCAGCCATTCTACGGATTTTGAAGTGCATCGAAACTGGTTGGCGGTGACGCACAACCTCTCCTTAGACCGGTGGTATTATGACAAAACCTCTGAATGGACATTAGATTATCCACCTCTTTTTGCTTGGTTGGAGTATGGCCTTTCCTATATAGCGAAGATTTTCGACCCCAAAATGCTATATCTGACTAACTTGAACTATGAGTCGGATATGACCATTCTGTTCCAGAGGCTATCTGTGATTTTACTGGATTTTGTTTATATATTTAGTGTTCATAGGTAAGATTTCGCACACTAATATATTTTGTTAGACTTGTGTATTTCTACTAAATTGTGTTGTTATTTAAGTTGTTCCAGACTTGTAAGCGATGGGAAGCTTTTGGTCTTTGTATTATTAGTCACAAATCCTGGATTGCTGATGGTGGATCATATACATTTTCAGTACAATGGCTTTTTATATGGTTTCCTTTTGTTTTCCATATCCAATATGATAAGGGTAAGGTCTTATTTAACATAATTATTTTAATTCCTTATGAATAATAACAATTCAATAGAAATAAAAATCTACTGTAATAAAACCTGGAATGTGGAATTAAAATATGAATATTTTGGAAAAAGAGATTAAGAAATTGAAAAGTGGAAAATTCTTCAATAATTAAATTGTGCTTGTCCTGCCTCTATTTTTAGTTTTCATTAAGGCGATATAGGGCTGTATTAGATAGGGCTCGGAATGTGCCAATCTAATATTAATAACCATTAATTTAAGCTTCTTAAATCTATGTGGACAGAGAGGAGACTTCCCTGAGAAACAATGTTTTTTACACAGTACAGCACAAAATCAATGGATGTGATAATTTTTATGTTGTAATGAAATGTTTATTCTTACAATATCATGTTCCCGTGTCAGAGTCGTATTCAAGTTTTCTTATATTGTCATGGTTAATGAGAAGTTGCAATAGGCAGAATAAGTTTATATTTACCTAAACTTGAAGAAATATGGAGTGTGTAATACCTCCCTCTGAAATGTGAAAACAGTTGTTGTATTGTACTTTGTTTCACAGCTTTAATGTGTATCTAGTAATTACTGTACTACAGCAGTATATTTAGAAGAAAAGTTTGTAATTGCAAGTAAAAATATAACTATATTGTATTTTTGCCTTATTGGTCTGGGATTTCAGAGGTATTATCCACTCTCTGTGTATTACTTGAAATTTTATAAAATATATTCTGTCTTTTGTGATATCTGCTAATGAGGCTCTAATTATTTTAACCATTTGAGTAACCATTGAGTATATAAACAGAAATAGAGACAAAATAAGGGCCATCCGTCCCAAGTCTTGAAACAAATTAATGTCATTTCGTCTCTGGTTATATACTCGATGTGATTAACTTTCTCAAAATTCTTATTCCAATTTTATTCTTTATTACAGAGCAACTATCTACAAGCAGCATTTTGGTTTGCTATTCTACTAAATCTAAAACACATATACCTATATGTGGCACCAGTGTACATTGTCCATCTGCTAAGAGCATACTGTTTTTCCGTATCTTCAACTGATGGCATACATACACCTTGGTACTCTTTCTCTTTTATGAATTTAATCAAGCTTGGTGTTGTTGTTGTTGGAGTATTTGCAATCTCCTTTGGCCCGTTTATTCAGCATATACCACAGGTAAACCATGTTCATTCAATATGGTGTCATTTATTATAAAGTAATTTCTTGTGATATTCAAAATGTTATATTTCCAATAGTTTTAGTAAATGGCTTATAAATCTATCAGTTACAGTATAATAATAAACTTGAACATAATGTCTCATATTGTCGGTGTTTTAACATTTTCATTGAATTTTCATTGGGGAATTGAATTCAAACAAAATCAAGATTGAATTTTAAAACAGGACGTAAATATTTTTAAACAGTTGCTAAAACCTAAAACACGCTCCCCTGAAAAAATATTCGAAATGGTGCTTTGGCCCTTTCTACAAAACACTGTCGATATAATATATAGTCCACTTTTAGATGTGTAATGTTCACAGATTATCTCGAGGTTATTTCCTTTCAAAAGAGGTTTATGTCATGCGTATTGGGCGCCAAATTTCTGGGCCTTATACAACTTTGCTGACAAAATCCTACAACATTGTTGTAAGTATTTAAGAAATTAATATTTTATTAATATTTATATTTTTTGATCGGGATGCGTGGAGGGATCAGGAGGAGGCCTTTGCCCAGCAGTGGGACACATCAGGCTAAATGTATGTATGTATGTAATATTTTATGCTAAATTTTGTGAATAAACACTTTCATTACTTAGGGAGTCAGAGTAAAGAAGGGCAGATCATTCCTTTATAAATCAGAAATAAGAATGGTTTTTACTGGAGAACCCAAAGAAGTCACTCCATTTGTGTCTACTTTCTGTATTCTACCGTTAAGATATGACGAGACAAGTTCCGACGCCTTGCCATTTACACCGTAATATTCCAGCTTCCTAATAAGAGTAATATGGTCAACGCAATCAAATGCCTTTGAGAGGTCACAGAAAACACCAATAGTGTTCTGGGACTCTTCCCAAGCATCAAAGATGTGTTTTAGTCACGCTACCCCCGCATCGCTAGTCGATCTACCACTAGTAAACCCGTATTGTTCACTTTGATAAATATTATTCTTACTGAAATAGGACAGTAATTGAGTCAGCATAACCTTTTCGAATATTTTACCTTGCTGCTAGGATCAACTTTCCTACCACTTTTGAATAAGGGAATAAACCTTGCTGCATTTCATTAAATCGGGAAAAACACCGTCAACGCACCTCTTGAAAACTACAGCTAAATGTAGGGAAATTAGATCAATACCTGAGTCTGTAACTTTAGTTGATATGCCCCAGAGATCTTCAGTTTTACATGTATTGATTTAAAAGCTTTTATGATGTCTTGTGGATTAACATGACGGAAATTCGAAAGGACATCAATAGCAAGAGAAGGGGAGGAATTTAATGATTCTGTAGCGTTCACAGCAATTTCCGAAAAGACCGAGCTTGGGCTACCTTGTCTTTAGATTTTATAAGTTTGCCGTCTAATTCTAGTACTATATCTCTATCGTGTTGTTTAACCCTGCCTGATTCTTTATATATTATGATGAAAGTAGTTTTAGATTTATTTATTGATTGTCTAATTTTGTCGCTGTGAAACTTGACCTTAGCAGCTACACATACTTTTTTAAATATTTTTGAATAATTTCTAATATAAAATAAAGCTACAAATCCTGACTCGCTTAGAAAAATAGAACGCATACTTCTCGATATGGTGGAAAAAATATATTTATACCGTTATACGCGGATAGGCTCCAAGGCAAAGAATCAAATATGAGAAGACCTGAATGTGGAAAATGTAAACGAGTGATCAACGGCCTGCAAAAACTATAATACATGATTTTTGTGCATTTTTATGAGATACACCCTGGTCAATTTGCGCGGGAAGTAAAAAATGTTCGAATCTAGTCTGATCTAATCTAACTCTAGGAGTGCTTAATAATAATTTGTGATCAAAATTGGTTCTTCACCATTTTTCAATATGGCTACCATAGAAGTGTTTTTTGGCGGAAGATGACAATTTGCTCTAATTCGATTGAAAATCGGCATGTGGGGGAGTCTATGGGTGTTTAATAATAATTTGCGGTCAAAATTTATTTTTCGCCATTGTTTTATATGGCTGCCATACAATCTTTTTGGCGGCATATGGAAATTTGCTCTAATTCAGCTGAAAATCGGCATATGGGGATCTCTATGGGTGTTTAATAATAATTTGCAGTGAACATTTACTTTTTACGGCCGTAGGCCGAGGTGTAGCGGAGGGCGATGCCCTAGGTGTAGCGGAGAGCGAAGCCCGAAGCGTCCGCACGCCACCTTACGTAGGTAGTATATGGAGACTCTATTACGGTACAAGATTTCACAATTGTTCAAAATGTAAGGCATACTTCCCAATGTAGTGGAAATAAGATACTTATAGCGTTGTTGTATCTCGACCGTCTCTCTGTTAGATTCTTTTTTCTTGGAAACTATGCCAAAAAGAGATTTAAGGAAAAATACCACACAATCGCTCCAAATTTCTGATTTCAAAGTAGGGAATTTCCTGTACTATGAGTACCAGAGTAACGATAATTCTGTGGGCAATATCCAGAATACCCTGACTACAACCAATTAAAAATTTTTTTTTGGTTCAAATCAGGGATCGAATCTGGAACCTCCTCATCAAGCGCCCATTGTACTTAATCGCTGTGTCAATGAAGAGCATAAGCACACCCCGTAATCTGAAACCGACCACGCGCCGCAGCCCAACCCCACCGTAGGTGGGGTATAGGGCTCCTATTCGATAAAATTGGAATTACTATTATTAGTTTTCATAGCATATAGCTCATACAAACGAGATCTACTCTTATGAATGCCTACTGTTGCCCAGTCGTTGAATTTAGTTTCTCTATGGAAAGTTAATGTTTTTGATTTAAATTTTTTAAACATTGTCAAATTCATTTCTAATTAAACCAAATATCGTGCTATATAAAGTATATGGAACCTCCGGTATAAGGGGTAGGAAATTTAAAGTATTGCCGATATTATTTTGAAATCTAATGATTCGTTCTGTGGTAATCGGTCTGCAGAGAAATTGGTTTACCTTCTTGCTCATTTTGCAATTAAAAGAAGCTAATTGGCCACTACGGTCTGATCTTAACCAATTTATTATTGATTTAGACACGGCGTTACAAAAGATGTTATCAGTACAAATAGAAGAGGAGGCAGTGATGCGAGTTGGTTCTAAGAAAACATTAATCAAGTTAAAACTTTTAAATAAATTAATGAGTCTTACAGAAGTAGAACGGTTTTCCAACAGGTTTACGTTGAGATCTCCACATATTACTACGTTTTTTTTGGTTGGAAAAATCGACTTTAAACTATCTTCCATAATTAATTCAAACTCGTTAAAATTAGCAGAGGGGGCCTGTATATACATAAGACGACAAACTGATCCAATTCCACACATGAAATCTCAATAGTTCGTTCAGTAGAAAGATCTGTGATATCCTTACGCTCTTTAAATTTTAAGTTACGTTTAATAATAATCATAGATCCGCCTTTACTTAAGTTCCTTCTTATGAACGAATTGATTATTACATAATTTTCTATGTTGTTAATTGCTTCGTAGTCTTTCAGTCAGTGTTCTGTAACACAAAACACGTCAAGGGAAATATCGTGCAAAAAAGACTTATTTCTAATGTTTTGCCAGAATAATTAGTTTTATAGCGTTAAGTATAAAAAATTATCACAAAAATTGGGATCCCTTTGCTTGAAACAGTTAGATTTAAAGCTAAGTTAATAAAATGCGTGTAAAATTTAAACATCAGGATCTCATAGCAAAATTATTCTTTTCAGTACCCAAACTAGGAATAGAAGTAGTGAAATCAGAAGCAGCAATGACAGGCGGTTTGGTGCAAGAGTATGACCATGCAGTACTTCCATCTATAAAGCCAAGTGTGACCTTTTTCTTCACAGTGATTTCTATGGTACCTGCTCTTGTAAAGTTATGGTACCTTGGGGCAGACAGGAGATATAGGACTTTAAGTTTTGTAAGGTAAGCAG